TGCTCTTTTACTTTCACTTCCTTCTGGTGTGGGTGGTTGCTGTGGTGATGGCTCTAAGAGCCAGTGCTTTGTAATGAATCAAAAGAGCTAAGCTCTCACTTTCAGTTGCTCCACCTGCTCAGGACAAAACTTTATTTTGATTAGCAGAGCAGCCTTGTGGCCAATCACCTATGAGGATCTGGGATCATACCATTATATGAAAACAGAGAGGGGGGACAGTCAGGTGGAGACTCTGTCTGTCCCCAGAGTGAGTTGTCCATGGTGAGGAGAACCTAACCCACTCATCCATTTAAAATATTACACAAAAAGTAAGAATGGCTGCTTTGGTAACAGAACAAACACATACAATTTGACAAATATACAATCATAAAGTTAAGCTACAATCTGAGTCTATGAGGCTTTGGCGACTTCTTGGATGACAGTTCTGGAGTTGGAAGTTCCACTACAGACAGAAACTTTAAGGCTGACATTGTTAAACTATCATTATGTTTCTCCTCATTCTTACTGTTTGTACCACAGTTACAGACCCAAGTACCACTAACAGGGCTCTGCTGCCACTTGTACCCATGCCGTCCTCACACCCACACACACACACACACACACACACACACACACCCCACAACACACACACACACACACACACCACACACACACACACACACCCCACACACACACACACACACACACACACACACACACACACACACCCCACACACACACACACACACACACACACACACACACACACACACACACACACACACACACACACACACACACACACCGTACACACAGTATATACATACGTAGCTTTTATCAAAGAATGCACTACTCTTACACAAATGTGGCTCCTCTTGTTATTTGTTTTTGAAATAATTTTGTAAACAGAAAACTTTAGCTTCTGACATCCATCATGATAAGTGTTACAGATATAGTAGCATTGCATGAAAAGTACTTGGATGGGTGTCTCAATATTTTGGGTAAAATAATCTGGGATCTTATTTATGTGTTTGTTATTTATTCTTTTGCTGCAAAGTTAAACAACAAATTTAACAGCCGCTAAGAGCAGGTATTCCATAGTTTTTGCCAAGTGGATAAAATTATCAAAGTGAACTTGTTCTGGTTCAAAACAAAATTATAGAATTAGGTCTCAGAAAATGATGTCTTAAATGTATCTTTGGTATAGATGCTAGTGGAAGGACGTAGCTTTGGAGATCTGAGCACAGAGAGGATGGACTTGTTGCTCTGCAGCAGAAGGTTTGAAAGGCAGTGACTGAATAAGAATGAATCTAAGGGAGGACTGTAAGGACTGACGTCCTGGGAGGAGCCTCTCAGATAGGTCATTGGATGAGCAGAGAGGTTGAAATTAGGAACTAAGTGATTTTGACAGTGTGGGAAAGTGGAAGTGACACAGAGACTACAGCGGAAAGGATAATCCATATTTCCTAAAACAGAATCTGGAGAGAGAGGTAAGGAACAGAGTGTGCAGCTTTCTGAACACTCTGCAATGTTCAGTTTTGGATCCTGGATGGACGATTAAAGCAAAGTCATAAATATTACTAATAATTTGGTCATTGTGTTATTTCTGATAAATCTGATATGTTGTACATAAACTTTGAACTCAAATACACACAAGATATGGCAGTTGTGTTTTTTGCACTGACTTCCAAGCCTACTTTTAAGCCCTGGGTTATTTTGAATAGTTTTTTTTTTTTTTTTAGGTTTGATTGTTCTGTCTTTGATTAGAGCAGTCTTGTTTCTGTTTTACTTTATGTTCAGTCCTGCTTAATGTTTCTAGTTACGTTTATTTCTTGTCTCGAGTTATTCCTTGATTCCTAGTTTAATTCTGGTTCTTAGGTCTAGTTATTTTTAGTTAGATTCATTCCCTAGTCTCTCGTGTACTCTCCCTCACCCCTATGCCATTCTCTCTCTCTCTCTCTCTCTCTCTCTCTTTCTCTCTCTCTCCTCAGCCTGCCTTCTGCTCCCTCCCCTCACACATGCAGCCCATTAGCTCATTAGCCCAGGTCTTTGTTCCAGCATTCACCCTCTCAGTATTCAAACAATCAGTATTCACACTCCTGGCAGGTCACTCCTGTTGTGCCCAGTTATTTTCTTTACCTCTGTCCCTTGTCAGCTTAATTCTTGGTTTGGATTTATAGTTTTTGTTCTGCTTTGGCTCCAAGTGGCATTTTGTAGCTTTAATTCTTTTGTAATTTTTCATTAAAACTTCCAATATGATCCATGCTCCCAGCTCATGTCTGCATTTTGCTCCTAAAACTCACACACTATGACATCTACAATAATACAAAGCCACAAACTTCTCCAATGTTGTACCATTGTCTCATGTTTTTGGTAATGACTGATTTTCACAAAACATTCAAGTACTTTGACCGGAAACCTTCAGAACTTCTTTTTATCATTTTTGTCATTAAATGTGAAAGTGGGATGGTCTTAGGAGAAGCAGAGTTACTGTCCTCCACTGTCCTTGGTTCCTGACATGCACTGCCTCAGCCAGCCACCAAAACAATGCTACTGTCTTGTAGGCAAGACTGTTTTGTACTAAGAGAATGTTGAGGTTGACTGTGTCAAAAGCAGCACTGAGATCTAGCCAAACCAGAACAGACACAAGTCCATCACTGAAGTCAAGAGAATATCATTAGTAACTTTCAACAGTGTTTCAGATGAGCTCTGAAACCTGACTAAAGCTCCTCAGACAGGTCATTACTATATAAATGCTCACACACTTGATTGGAAAATATATATATTTTTTAATTTTAGATAGGAAAGGAAGATTAGATATAGATCTGTAATTAAATCAAGAGGTTTCTTAAGTAAAGGTTTAATTGCTACCTTAAAATCTTGTGGCACATGTCCATTTACTGATGATAGAATAATCATTTTTAAAATGGGGGCAGTAATCACAGAGGACACTTTAAATAATTTGGTTGGGACGGAGTCCAATATGCAAGTTAAAGGTTTAGATGAAGCTAATATTTTTGATAACTCAGAAAGCTCAGCTACATTCAAACAGTCCAAACAAGTTCTACAGTTGCATTCAGTTCAACATCATTTACTGAGGATGGAGTAATGATCTACTGCACTTTATTTTATTTGATAGGCAGCATAGCAATACATATACTTTTTTTTCTGTCAAAAGAATAAATATTATGACAGTTTGGGAAAAGAATATGCCCAGTGATGACACAATTGGATACTGTGAGTTCTACCCAGTGATCTGAGAATACCAGTCATGTGGTACTTATGAACGATCCGATTCTTTTGAACGGCTCTTCAGTCTCTCAGGTCTAACTTAGTGAGATCTGTTCTTTGTTTTTTATGACTTTGCTTGTTCATAATGATCTGCACATGCTGCAGTAACTATCATATCAAATAAGCATTCTGAATGGATGCTCATTTCATTGTTGGCTTACATCACATTTTGTGGCAGTAGACATGTACAATGTGCCTGCAATATTTTCTTTTTACTTATTCTGCATTTAAAAAGCTCCTAGATTGTCAGTCAAATGTTTCTAATGTTTCTATTTACTTCCTGTGTTGTCTCGGCTTCCCCTTTATTGCCCCAGTTGGCCCTTGTTTCCCCTGATTACTTTCCCTCTGCATTTAAACCTACCTATGTCTCTTGTTCGCGTCAAAATATAGTCTTAAGTTGTACAAACGACTTCAACTGTTGCTACCAGTGTCAGAACTATTGCTTTTGCTCACCTGTGCTGCCTGAACCTTGCACTCTTTTGGATTTCATTAAAATCACACCACAACCTGAGTTCAGCAAGTCTCCATCCTCACCAACAACAACTGCAAATCGTGACACTGTCGGTATTTTAATTGGTGGAAAGAAACAATCTTGCGAATGGAAATCATTGGGTTTGTTTCAATTTACTGTGTGATTAATTGAGTATAAAACAGACCAGTATAAAACATTTAAAACAGAAATGTGGGCTTAATAAAAAGTGCATTTAATACCTGTTTAAAGGTTGCTAATTCCAAAATGTACTTTTAATTCTTTATACAGAGGATAGGATGTTGATCCTGCAAAGTGCCTTAAAAAATGTATTAAGAAAATCTTGTGTTAAATTAAATGAGTATTATACCCTGCAATATTAGATATAATATTAATAAAATCAAATGAGTATTATACACCCGTAACACTTGCAACTTCTAATCTAACAAAAGAAGTTTGTCAAAAAAAAGCAGCACATCTCATTCTCTCCATTTATTTTTTATGCTCCCTGATATATGAATGGGAAACAATATGAAAATGATATTCTTGGCCAGATGACAGCCATTTTTCATCTCTAGCCCTAAACAAGTCCCCCAACAAGTGTGTGCGCTGTCTCTCCATCTGATCCCCTCGTTCCGTCCCCCTGTTTCTTTTTCTCCAGTAAAAATTAATCACCTGTCTTTCTGTCCGTGTGTATGTGTGTGTGACCAACAGGAAGCCCACAGAGGTTTTTAGCAGCTGATTTATTGCCAGGTTAATTCATAATGGCGTCCTATGATGATGAGCGGCCGCAGGAAAAAGTGTTTGTCACAGTTGTTGTTCAAGGGTGAGAGAGAAAGTAAACAGAGTTATTCTTTGATGTAGAGTGACAGAGTTGAACGTTATTAATAAAATTTTATGAATAAGAAATTCTGGAAAATCGTAAAGCTTGAATGTCATTACTTTGTGTAGCTTTGTTGTAATGAGAAATTCTTTTTAAGTTTTGTATGAAGGAGTCAAAGTTTAAGCAATGTGAAAGAAAGGACTGCTGTGAAAAGTTAGCTTTTAGTTGAATTTAGATTTTAACCTATAATGTCATTCACCCAAATGCAACTAAAATCTGCATTAAAATTGCATCACAGACACATTATTTGATAAAGAACTTAATGCACTAATGTGATTTTATTTTTCTGTGTTGTAGACATTTTTTACTAAATCACATTTGGCATATCATCTTCATAATTAGATTTCTTACATTGCTCTGTGGTTGCTGTGTGTCCAGGCTGCAGGCTCTCCGGAAGGAGAAGTCAAGGGACGCTGCAAGGTCACGGCGAGGGAAAGAGAACTTTGAATTCTATGAATTAGCCAAGATGCTGCCGCTGCCCGGTGCCATCACCAGCCAGCTGGACAAGGCCTCCATCATCCGCCTCACAATCAGCTACCTGAAGATGAGGGACTTTGCCAACCAAGGGGATCCGCCATGGAACCTGCGGATTGAGGGACCCCCACCCAACACCTCAGTGAAAGGTAGGGTCCACACTTTTAGTAATGTCCGGTAATCTGTCCTCTTGAGTTACATATATATATATATATATATATATATATATATATATATATATATATATATTATATTTTTTTTTTTTTTTCCGTGAAAAGTTGTTCAGCGATTGCCGATCACGATCTCTTGTTGCCGATCACCAAAACTGATCACATTTATCTCACTTCGCAGCCAGCGTGTACAGCTGATCTCCTTTTTCCTTCACACTGCGCAAGACTTAAGAGTGCTGCACTGATTGCAGTTTTTCTGGCCAATCACCAATTACCGATAAAAAGCCTGACCTACAGATTTTGATTTTGGCCAATACCAGTTTTTATTTGCCTGAAATATTGCTAAATATAGTAAGTCACTGAGTTGGCAACAGTGGGGTGACTGTTGTTAACTGTGAAAATACAGATATCACCTGATGGGCAGGTCAGTCAGTCAAACCTCTCACTGCAGAGCAGAACAGAACCGTGGCTGATTTTTAGATCTTTGCTTATTTAGCTAAGATCAGTGGATAAGATCGGTTCCACATTAAGGAATCGGCTGATCACTGATCTCCCAAAATTACGAGAATTGGGGAAATAAATCGTCTGGCTGATTTATCTGTGCAACTCTAGTCAGAAGAAATAGTACGAATAAAATTTGTGGCCTGAAATTGGAGATTCGGATCTCATTGCACATATGTATAGTGACAATAAAAGGATTCTGTTCTTTTATTCATGAAGTCACACAAGAAAACTGACAAACTGGAAAATTTAATTTGGATTTTAAAAATATACAAAATATGGTCCATTCTTATGTTTTGGACCTTTTGTGATCATTTTTTATCCCTGTAAGACTTTTTCATATCACTTTTATTGATCCAAATAGCCATTTGCAGTTCTGAAATAAAGACACAGTTGTCCAAATTGTGAGTATCATCCTGCTGTTGCTTTTTTATTTTAGAATTTAAACATTATTTTAACTGCATATGCAGAGGTAGACTAAAATTCAAAGAGATCTGTCCTGTTTGGACTGCACTGCAGTGAGGACAGCCTGTCCAGTAATCACACCAAACCGAGATTCCTGGGAGGAGGAAATAAAGACAATTTTTTTTTTTTCCATTGACCTCTTATGTGTGTCATGCAGTGAAGGTGGTGGATGGTGTGGCACCAGTCATGCCTTTTGCATTTTCAACACATAGCAGGAATATTGTTGGAAGAATATTCTAAACAGCCATCTTTCAATCAGAATGACTTCCATTCATTTTAGTAACTGCATTCATGCCTAACACAGACATTATTCCTTTAGCCTAACCCTTAATTCCTTAATCTCATTTACATCATAACACCACAACTAACTCATAGAGTGCAGTAAAACAGCAAAAACAGTGAGAACCAGGAAAATGTCCACACTTTGCAAAAATGACCAGCTTGTTGATAACTACTGTGAAAGTTGCCCTTTATTATATATAATATATATATATATATATATATATATATATATTATATATATATATATATATATATAATATATATATATATATACATGTTATATATATATATATATATATATATATATATATATATATATATATATATATGTATATATATATATATATATATATATATATATATATATATATATATATATATATACATACACACACATGCATGCACACGCACGCATACATCTTTTCATAAAGCATGTATTTTTGTAGAGAAATCAAAGTAACTTGGTTTCAGATTGAATAACCTTAGCTTACCTTTAACCCAGTTCTTGTGTGTAAGTGTTTGACTGTTTGTCCTCCATGTCATTTTCATTACGGCCTATTTGCTGTTTGTCTTTAAATCAACCTCATTCTTATGAGGCTGAACATATAGGAAGACGTGAAAGGTTTGCTGCATGTGACTGCTTGGCGCTTTAAGCAGCCATCACACAAAACAATGAAACATTGTAGAAACACACACTCACATAGACAGCCAGCCTCTGCCCAAAGTGATTTTCTGTGAAGAGAACATTAAGCTTTGATGAATTTCTGCCTGGAGTACCAGAATATACACAGCTCTTGTGAATCTAAGTGGAATTTGCCTTTGAAATTGGTCCTTTGTGCAACACACTTAGAGTAGAAGTGGGGTATTTGCTTTAAAAAGGGCTTTTGGGCTTTTAGGGATGACCTGTGAATGAAAGCTCAGCATCTGAAGTTTCTGGTATAGAGTGTGGGAATTTAAAGGTGAAATATGTACTAGAACATAATTTCAGACCATGGGTGATAAGATTAGTGTCTGTGTTTGTGATGTGTGTATTATATTTGTGTAGAGGTATTTCCACACACGTGTTCGTCCCATAGATGATCATACACACACTCCTTCTCTAGTACCAGATGGCAGCATTGTTGTCAGTGCTTTGAAGAAGTACATGCATTTTAATGAACACAACTGATAGGCAAATACTAAACTTGTGTGTATGCATGTGTGTGTGTGTGTGTGTGTCTGCTACATGTAGATTGACACAATTTGGACAGATGGTCTAGTTCATGAAGTTGCACTATTTGTGTAAACTTTTGCCTCTGGTTTGCACCTAAGTCTCCATTTCATTCACAGAGCTAATGGCTTGATCCAGATTGGAAAATTGAAACATCAAGTCCAGCAAATGTGAGAAATGTGCATCTGTCTTTACATCAGGTCACAGTTGTCCCTGTTTAGTCCTTAACACACTTCAAACTCGCAGATCCTGGCTTTAGAATGGACGACCCATATTTAGGGTTATGTTGTTGCTTCTAGTGTGCAGCTGCAGCTTACAAAGGCATTTTGATGACTGATCCATTTAACCGAATCACCAGGTTCCAGGGAGAAAATCAAGCATAAATTGATGTTGAAATACATTAGTTATATTTTACTAAACAAATGTGTTGTAGTATAATATCTGAGTGAAAACTCGATGGTTGTGCCTGTGTACTGTTTGTGTCTTTGATTCTATCGGTGTGCTGCCTTCTTCATTGTCGGGATGAATGTGGAATCGGCTGGAGATTCTTCAATTCGATGAGGACAGATGTGATGTAAGCCATTATCTGATGAAAATTTTTACACATTAAATCTGAGTTATACCTCTTGTGCTGAACAAAACAGAAGGAATAGCAGGATTTTACACACAGTTTAAATAATTTATTTCCCAGTTACAGAAATGAGTTACAGAACAGTTATGCTCACACTGGAAGAGATGGTCAATACTACCTTTTGTGATGACCCTGTCCTCTTTTTGTAAACACAGATTTTTTTCAAAATACACAGATTTATTTAACGTAGTCTGAACCTCAAGCCACACTGGTCTTTGGTTCTGGCTGTAATTCCTATAAACACAGAATTCTCAACAATATTGACCTTGTATCTCAATATAGTTTATCTAAATACAGTATGTGGTTACAGCATTAGTGCAGATAATTATTTTTTAAGCATCAAAGATTTAAAATTTGATCTTCCTTTGCTTGAAGGAAGAGCTGGAGGCTTTTGATTTCGGTCTCCAATGTGGCAGCAGAGCGTGGATTACAGTTTGGATCTGAAAATTGGGCCTGGTTGAGGCCAAATGATGTGCTTGATGGTCAGGCCCGGTCAGACTTATGCTGTGTATGTTTAATTACAGTGTATACAGAACAGAGAAAATAGAGGAGGAGGCAGCTTACCTTGTTGATGAAAGAAAGAAAAGGTATATATCTATATCTATATCTATATCTATATATCTATATCTATATCTATATCTATATCTATATATATATATATATATATATATATACATTTTTCTATATATATTTTTTATATTCATAAAATACATTCATATATTTTATGAATATTTTATATTCATAAAATATATAATATTTTATTAATGCTAACAGATGCAACTCAAAATAGACTAAAATTGGATCATTCTATAGGCTGATCAGCAAGTCAAACACTCAAATCAGAGTTTTTTTATTTATGTTCACTGAATGTACCATACCAATCTTGGCCAAGTTGAGCTGACAACATTTTTTTGTTTTGACTGCTGCTGAATGAGGCAGAAGCTGGATTTTAGTGTAAATCTGGTTCCTAATGAAACATGGAGGGTTGTAAAAGATGCATTTTATCTTCTTCAACATGTCACTAATTCAACAGCTAGCCAATTGCTAACTGCGCTAACTAGACTAATTTCCAACTTTGTTTTCACACTTTATTTTCCCATTGAGTTTTCCAGTCTTAACAGTGTAGGTTATTACTTTCTCTTCTTTTTTCTTTTCATTTTCATCCTCTTCCTTTCCTTCCTATCCTCCACCTCTTCAGTTTTCTCCTCTCCGATTGACCTTTGCAGTAATTGACCCATCAGTTGCTCTTCTCCAGTTTAGCGTTGGAGGTTTTGACATCCTGTCAAAGGATCTCCACATCTGCTACAGGACTCTACACAAACAACCGTGACCTTTGAAGCATCCTGACTCTGAGTCTGTGTGTGCGTATACTAGCATGAGTGCACATAATGGTGTTTGTGTGTTTATAGTACTGACCACTCACCAGTTAAAGTGTCTGAATTTTGATTAGTCTGTTTGTGTGGGGTTTTATGGCTGGCTTTACGCTTCCACATATGCATGCAGTCTGTTTGTCCAACAGTGTGTGTGATTGGGTTTTGGCTTCTGGGAGGTGTCTGACAGTCTGTTATATTGAGTGTGTGTGTGTGTGTTTTTGCACATGTGTGTCATCCCCACCACACCACCATCTCTACAACCCCCACCCTGCAGCCCCCAACACCTGGCTATTCATTATGCATGCAGAGAGGAGCAGACATCGAAATGCCACACTTCATGAGCCAGTCTAGAGTCAACACACACACGCACACATGCACACAAGGACTCTCTGACCCACATGCCAACAGTTTCTAAAGTGAAACACTAGCATGCTTTGTGCATGCTTCATTCATACAAATACAAACTAGTGGTGAAGATATTAAGAACACTGATGTGTAACCTAAAACCTGAACGCAC